CCATCCTGCCCAGGGCTCCTCAGAGGAGAAGAACAGCTGGAGATGCCTTATCCTGCAAATGAGAAAAAGTCTGTGGAAATCCCCTTCTGTCCACAGGGGCAGTGTCTGATCATCACCAAAACAAAGCAAGAGAGAGGGAACAGAATATGCTGCCTTTCCCAAATCCTTGGAACCACCTAAGAAGAGTTTTTAACTCCTTTTAAAAGTTAGAGGGAGAGGTGACAAGCAGGAGGAGTTCACAGCCCCATCCCATTCCTTCAGCAGGAGCAAGAAGGACCCCAGAAGGCTGCACTGCCAACGGTGGTGAGGAGGCTATAAATGGCCAGGGGACCAAGACCTGCCTCCCCCTGGGACTGAGCCACGTGCCTGATAAGCTCCAGCATGGCAAAACTTGACATCAATAGTTAAGGTTTGTTATTGTGAGATCTCTGAAAGAGTGTACTGAACAGAAAGAGAAAACCTCTGGCTTTTTTTAAAAACCTCTTTATAAGTGTATACCTAGAGTACATCTACTGTTTGTCTTATTAGAAGTTTAATATATATAAATTTTATGCTTGTTTATAGACATAAAACTTTGGTATTCAGTATATTAACCACAAAACCCAGAAATCCCAATTGCCAGCTCAATCATGTGCCATCCTGACCACTTAACAGTGCCCACAGGAACTCCAAACTAATTCGAATGCTAATTGTCACACTCCTGGGGAGCAATGACAACACAAACTAACACTTAGAATAGAGATTTCCTGTTGCTTCCTAGGACTTCCCTCTATAAAGGTGCTTTCTATAAAATGTCCATGTGCTTTCCAGAAATTTCAATGGGCTTTCTGTGGGATTTTCAGAGGGCTTTCTATGAATTCGCACCAGATTCTAGGAATTTTCCATTAATTTGTAGGAATTTCTTTGTGCTTTCCAGAAATTTCAGTGGGCTTTCTGTGGGATTTTCAGAGGGCTTTCTATGAATTCGCACCAGATTCTAGAAATTTTCCATTCATTTCTAGGAGTTTCTTTGTGCTTTCCAGGAATTGCAATTGTTCTTTCTAATTCTTCCAATTCTAATTCTTCCAATTCCTTGTTCTTTCTAGGAATTGCAGAGAATTTTGTAGAGACTGTGGAGTGGAATTCCAGGGTGCTTTCTGAACAGTTTGATGTGCTTTCCAGCGATTCCTGCCAGCTTTCGCTCATTTTTCTTCCAGCATTTTCTAGGCCTTTCCCTGCGCTTCCTGGAAGTGCTGCAGAAGGAGGGAGCCTGAAGAAAACTGGTGACATTTCTCCTGATTTCCTGGAAAAGCTCCTTTCCCATTAGGATTTCTTTATTTGAGAACATCTTCAAAGCAAGCTGAGTTGGGGAATGAGATGCTTTCAAGGGCTTCTGGCACAGACAGAGGTGATGGATGAAGTCACCCGTTCCTGGCCCCTTTCCAACCACCACATGGAGCACAAGTAAGTTGAACTGGGTGATTTGGCACAACCCTGTCTCAAACCATTGCTCTGTCCCTTGCCGAGGCAGCTGTAATTTGAAGAAGCAAAGCATGTGAGGTGAGAGGGGACATAGGCTTGTCAAGGCTGCTTCTGCCCTTCATAAGATATTTAACACCTTCCTTCCTTCTCCCTTTCCTTTCCCAAAGAGCAGCAGTCTGCCTCAGTACCTTATTCACAAATACCAGCCCAGTGCTGGCTGGCCAGGGAACAGTGGTGAAGTAACTCCCACGGGTCATGGATGCAGCACTGGTGCCCACTCACCATCTGTCATAGCTCTGCTTCCCATCACCTCACTCTTTCCAAACTTTTCACGTCTTGAGATGACAATTTTAGTTCTGGTAAGAATGTGCCAGGGTGGGGTTTTTTTTTCTGTCCCTTAAATATTGGTTTTGATTGCATAAGGAGAAGACTGTCCTTAGATCATGAGCCAAGGGAAAGTTGTGCCCTGAACTGCATTCACCCAAGCTGGTGTTGGCAGGTTAAGGTTTGGCTGGGAAATGGTCTTGGTGGAGAGCCCAGCTGGCTGGTGAGATTAGCTTTTGGGATTTGTGTGGTTATCAAGGCTCGAAATCCGGGGGGGGGGGGGG